CATTTCTCTCGTATTGGACCTGAGTGTTTGGAACAACATAGTCGTGACAACAGAGATGTGGATAGTTAGGGCTACATCAGTTTCATCCTTGTGACGTGCTAATTTGGCTGTAATGTCTGAGTTGTTATAATGAGTTATATTTGTGTGAGATCAATACATTCTCACAAAAGATATTCTGAACCCTTTATTCTGTGCAGCGAGCAGGTCATTTATCGTTGCTATTATGAGCAGCTGCTGCTGTCAGTCTCACAGAACTCTTCAAGTGTGAGAACAGACTTTGAGTCATAGAACATTATTCTTCCTCCTGTGTTGTGTGGTAGGTAGTTGTAGGGTAGTTAGTTCTGTTTATGCACAGTTAAGCCAGTTGTTTAAGATACCACTGACAGTCTGCTGACATGTATTGTACCTATAAACCTCAAGGTTGCTGAAGTCCATCCTCCATAAGCCAAGGATAAAACTCTATGGACTCAGCTGCGAATATTTCATCTTCACCAGTAGTAGGAGGGTCGGCATGGGGGTCGACCCACCTATGACCGTACCGTTACATTCACCAGTCACCCTGCAAAGTTGGGTGAGGCTAACCCCAAGCGTCTGGTCTCCATCCTTGGCCAGTCACACACACACACACACACACACACACACACACACACACACACACACACACACACACACACACACACACACACACACACATATTTGCTTTTATATATTCACTTGTACACCAACTTTAGCACTATTTACAAGTCCTGTAGCAACTACACTATGTACACACTGTTCACACTGTGTACACATGATGGGAGTGTGTACACCTATCATAGCTGTACACATGGTACCGGGCTTAGTGCATCACAGTGAACACCTATAGTGAGGGTGTATACATACAAACCCCCTCACAAAGTATACATATTGTGGGAGTTTATACATACACACAGCACTATGTACACTTTATAAACTACCAGGACCACTGACCTTGCTTGGCTCTGGGCTCAATATTGGGTCAGTTTGAGCTTGGTTAACTTTAAGTGTTTTTGGTCCTATGTACACCTGTTATATAGTCCTGTGTACACCTGTTATATAGTCCTATTTACACCTGTCATATAGTCCTGTGGACACCTCTTATATAGTCCTGTGTACACCTGTTATATAGTCCTGTGGACACCTGTCATATAGTCCTGTGGACACCTGTTATATAGTCCTGTGTACACCTGTTATATAGTCCTGTGTACACCTGTTATATAGTCCTGTGTACACCTGTTATATAGTCCTGTGTACACCTGTTGTATAGTCCTGTGGACACCTGTTATATAGTCCTGTGTACACCTGTTATATAGTCCTGTGGACACCTGTTATATAGTCCTGTGGACACCTGTTATATAGTCCTGTGGACACCTGTTATATAGTCCTGTGTACACCTGTTATATAGTCCTGTGTACACCTGTTATATAGTCCTGTGTACACCTGTTATATAGTCCTGTGGACACCTGTTATATAGTCCTGTGGACACCTGTCATATAGTCCTGTGTACACCTGTTGTATAGTCCTGTGGACACCTGTTATATAGTCCTGTGGACACCTGTTATATAGTCCTGTTTACACCTGTTATATAGTCCTGTTTACACCTGTTATATAGTCCTGTTTACACCTGTTATATAGTCCTGTGGACACCTGTTATATAGTCCTATACATACAAGTCAACCAGACGTTAGATGGGATTACTTTCTATGGCATTGAAATCTCCTTTGGTACTTAATGCCCTTATTGAGTCCAGTGTGGCACTTAAGAAGGCATAGAGGAGAGTCAGGTGTTGAAGAGCACCTCACACCTGACTGTGTACACCTGACTGTACACCTCACACCTGACTGTGTACGCCTGACTGTACACCTCACACCTGACTGTACACCTCACACCTGACTGTGTACCCCTGACTGTACACCTCACACCTGACTGTACACCTCACACCTGACTGTGTACCCCTGACTGTACACCTCACACCTGACTGTGTACACCTGACTGTACACCTCACACCTGACTGTACACCTCACACCTGACTGTACACCTCACACCTGACTGTGTACACCTGACTGTACACCTCACACCTGACTGTGTACACCTGACTGTACACCTCACACCTGACTGTGTACACCTGACTGTACACCTCACACCTGACTGTACACCTCACACCTGACTGTGTACACCTGACTGTACACCTCACACCTGACTGTGTACACCTGACTGTACACCTCACACCTGACTGTGTACACCTGACTGTACACCTCACACCTAACTGCGTACACCTCACACTTGACAGTGTACACCTCACACCTGACAGTTTACATCTCACACCTGACAGTGTACACCCCACACCTGACAGTGTACACCTCACACCAGACAGTGTACACCTCACACCTGACAGTGTACACCCCACACCTGACAGTGTACACCTCACACCTGACAGTGTACACACCTGGCAGTGTACACCTCCCACCTGATAGTATACACCTGACACCTGACAGTGTACACCCCACACCTGACAGTGTACACCTCACACCTGACAGTGTACACCTCACACCTGACAGTGTACACCTCACACCTGACTGTGTACACCCCACACCTGACAGTGTACACCTCACACCTGACAGTGTACACCTCACACCTGACTGTGTACACCCCACACCTGACTGTGTACACCCCACACCTGACTGTGTACACCCCACTCCTGACTGTGTACACCCCACACCTGATAGTATACACCTCACACATGACTGTGTACACCCCACACCTGACTGTGTACACCCCACACCTGACAGTGTACACCTCACACCTGACAGTGTACACCTCACACCTGACTGTGTACACCCCACACCTGACTGTGTACACCCCACACCTGACTGTGTACACCCCACACCTGATAGTATACACCTCACACATGACTGTGTACACCCCACACCTGACTGTGTACACCCCACACCTGACAGTGTACACCTCACACCTGACTGTGTACACCACACACCTGACTGTGTACACCTCACACCTGACTGTGTACACCTCACACCTGACTGTGTACACCTCACACCTGACTGTGTACACCTCACACCTGACAGTGTACACCTCACACCTGACTGTGTACACCTATCTGTACACCTCACACCTGACAGTGTACACCTCACACCTGACAGTGTATACCCCACACCTGACAGTGTACACCCCACACCTGACAGTGTACACCTCACACCTGATACTATACACCTGACACCTGACAATGTACACCCCACACCTGACAGTGTACACCTCACACCTGATAGTGTACACACCTGACAGTGTACACCTCACACCTGACAGTGTACACACCTGAAAGTGTACACCTCACACCTGATAGTATACACCTGACACCTGCCAGTGTACACCCCACACCTGACAGTGTACACACCTGACAGTGTACACCCCACATCTGACAGTGTACACCTCACACCTGATAGTGTACACACCTGACAGTGTACACCTCACACCTGACAGTGTACACACCTCACACCTGATAGTATACACCTGACACCTGACAGTGTACAACACACACCTGACAGTGTACACACCTGACAGTGTACGCCCCACACCGGACAGTGTAGACCTCACACCTGATAGTGTACACACCTGACAGTGTACACCTCACACCTGACAGTGTACACACCTGGCAGTGTACACCTCACACCTGATAGTATACACCTGACACCTGACAGTGTACACCACACACCTGACAGTGTACACACCTGACAGTATACACCCCACACCTGACAGTGTACACCTCACACCTGACTGTGTACACCCCACACCTGACAGTGTACACCTGACAGTGTACACCCCACACCTGACAGTATACACACCTGCCAGTGTACACACCTGACCTTCACAAAGAACAGCAGTCAGCGAGGACACCTCTCCCGAGTGAGTGTGACTGGGTCATCATTAGAGCACCTTGGAGCACATTAACAATGCAACAATAAGCTATTGCAACATTGCTCATGTCTCGGACACACACACACACACACACATTACACACACACACACACACACATTACACACACACACACACAAACACACACACACACATTACACACACACACACACAAACACACACACACACACACACACACACACACACATTACACATTATATATGTGTCATTCTTGTACATATTAATTAGCCAGACCACTTGGGTGTTGATGTTATTTAATACCTCAAGGGCAAGGCCACCTCTGCCACCTGCTAGAGGTCTACTTATCTATTAATATTGTCTACTTATCTATTAATATTGTCTACTTTGTCTACTTATCTCTTAATATTGTCTACTTTGTATACTTATCTATTAATATTGTCTACTTATCTATTAATATTGTCTACTTTGTCTACTTATCTATTAATATTGCCTATTTTATCTACTTATCTATTAATATCGCAGTCTCGCGCATGCCTGCAAGAAACCGCTCAGATATTTTTTTCATTTTTTAATATATAACTTCTTTATTTATGTATGTCATATTATTTAGTATTTTATATATATATATATATATATATTATGAGTGTACGTTCATTGTAATGGTGTAATAACGATTTGTGACAGAAATATTTTGTTTATCTTAATTCATCATATTTCCCAAGTATCGAGTTAACAAAATGCAAGCAATAAAAACTATGTATTTTCGAGTATAGGAAAAAAAAGGGGGCTTTTGTTCGTGGAAGTGGAACTATCAGGGGTAAGCGCCAAGCCATTACGACTATATAGCACTGGGAAGAGGGGTCAGGATAAGGATTTGGGATGGGACGGAGGGAAAGGAATGGTGCCCCAACCACTTGTGGACGGTCGGGGGGATAGAACGCCGACCTGCACGAAGCGAGCCCGTCGCTCTACCGTCCAGCCCAAGTGGCTGGGTAGAACATTCTGGGTACATGAAAACATTCCCCGGGACGTGCACGGGGCTGCAGGAGGGGGAGGATGATGGGCGACTTACCGCACACGTCCCCACCAGCCCGTGAAGCAACGAGGCCCATATCTTCTCCACACTGTACAGCGTCATCATGACAAGATGGTCCTGGAGCGAACATCAAGACGCACCAGCGCAACACCCGCCCGCAGCACAACCTTCCCCCTCCACTACCAAGTGTACACTGATCTCCGTCCCGCCCCCGTCACGCTGTCATGCATTGTACCCCATCCCCTCACCCTCCCCCTCCCTCCCCCTCCCTCCTCCAGCCTTTACTTACCCCTTCAACGCATGCACGCGCACGCGCACACACACACACACACACACACACACACACACACACACACACACACATACACACACACACAGAGTGTGTGTGTGTGTGTGGTTGACAAATGGAATGCATTAGGCAGTGATGTGGTGGAGGCTGACTCCATACACAGTTTCAAGTGTAGATATGACAGAGCCCAGTAGGCTCATGAATCTGTACACCTGTTGATTGACGGTTGAGAGGCGGGACCAAAGAGCCAGAGCTCAACCCCCGCAAACACAACTAGGTGAGTACACACACACACACAAAGACAAATTTACTATGTGAAGGGGAAAACCAGAGTTACAATAGGTTTGCAAATGCTTATATTCTCTTGGGGTGAGGTGGTACAGGACGTGATTGAGATGAACAAGTGGATGAAACACAATGGATATTAATATTGTATTACGTGCATGATCATAAGCAGCTTATCTTCTTGCTGCTACTGTCTCTGTCTTGGGTCGGGGTCTCGAAGTGGGTAGAATGTAATGATGTCTTAACTGGCTCTTGAATGCTGGTCTTGACTTTTTGATGCGTGGAACATTGCTGATGTCGAATCTCCTATTGTCATTATACCAGTCGATTATTTCTGTGTTGCTTGTATTTCTCTGGTGATGGTCAGGTTGTGAGAAGAGATTATATGTTCCTTAATGGAGCCCTGTTGTTTGTGCATTGTTAATCTCCTAGATAGAGACGTTGTCGTCTTGCCTATATACTGAGATCTTTGGGGCTGACAGTCCCCAAGTGGGCATGTGAAGGCATAGACGACGTTCTCTCTTTAAGACGTTCTGTTTGGTGTCTGGAGAGTTCTTCATGATTAGGTTGGCGGTCTTCTTGTTTTTGTGGTAAATTGTTAATTGTATCTTGTGACTGGTGTCTGTGGAGATAGTGTTCCGATCAGTAATATCTTTCGGGACTCTTTCCTCCATTTTGTAAGCTGTGGAAAAGAAGTTTGTGAAAAACAATATAATAGGAAATACAGGTGTTGTGTTAGTTGACTCTTCAGAGGTTGCATGATGTGTCACCTTTCTTTTAATGACGTCTTCTACATAACTGTTAGTGAAGCCATTATTGACTAGGACCTGCCATACTCTACAGAGTTCCTCGTCAACCTGCTTCCAACCAGAGCTGTGACTGAGAGCTCGGTCGACGTAAGCATTGACAACACTCCGCTTGTACCTGTCTGGGCAGTCACTGTTGGCATTATGGCCCATTCCTTTGTTCGTTTCCTTAGTGTAGACTGCAGTGTGGAAGCCAACATTCCCTTTCGTGACTGTCACATCTAGAAAGGGCAGCTTCCCATCACTCTCCATCTCGTAAGTTAAACTTAACAAAACAACAAAAGTAAAACAAAAAATCGCATCCCTCCTTACTGAAACATCAAGATATCATAGTTGTCCACTGTGCTAAACTCTCTATGTAAACAACTGTGTCAATTGTAACAAAAATAGGATAACATACCTATGAAGTGAACAAATTATACACAAATAAGTCCGTTGTGTGTAAACGACGACCGTCCCGAGCCTTGGTGCACACCGTGTGTGTGTGTGTGTGTGGGTGTGTGTGTGGTGTGTGTGTGTGTGTGTGTGTGTGTGTGTGTGTGTGTGTGTGTGTGTGTGTGTGTGTGTGTGGTGTGTGTGTGTGTGTGTGTGTGTGTGTGTGTACTCACCTAGTTGTGCTTGCGGGGATTGAGCTCTGGCTCTTTGGTCCCGCCTCTCAACCGTCAATCAACAGGTGTACAGATTCCTGAGCCTATTGGGCTCTATCATATCTACACTTGAAACTGTGTATGGAGTCAGCCTCCACCACATCACTGCCTAATGCATTCCATTTGTCAACCACTCTGACACTAAAAAAGTTCTTTCTAATATCTCTGTGGCTCATTTGGGCACTCAGTTTCCACCTGTGTCCCCTTGTTCGTGTGGCCCTTGTGTTAAATAGCCTGTCTTTATCTACCCTATCAATTCCCTTCAGAATCTTGAATGTGGTGATCATGTCCCCCCTAACTCTTCTGTCTATTTGGATAAAATACCTGTTTTTTAAGTTATGAATGGAGTTTGCTTCTACTACCTGCTGCTTTAGGTTATTACATTTTCTCAAGCTTCTCTCCGTGTCCTCTTGTCCAACCACTTGGGCTGGGCGGTAGAGTGACGGTCTTGCTTCATGCAGGCCGTCGTTCAATCCCCGACCGTCCAAGTGGTTGGGCACCATTCCTTTCCCTCGTCCCATCCCATATCCTTATCCTGACCCCTTCCCAGTGCTATATAGTCGTAATGGCTTGGCGCGTTCCCCTGATCATTCCTTCTTGTTCTATTTTGTTACTTGGTGGTTCATAACCAAGTTACTTGGTCGTTAATAACTAAGTTACTTGGTCGTTCATAACCAAGTTACTTGGTCGTTAATAACCAAGTTACTTGGTCGTTCATAACCAAGTTACTTGGTCGTTAATAACCAAGTTACTTGGTCGTTCATAACCAAGTTACTTGGTCGTTACTTGGTCGTATGCTGTTATTTTCCTTCTTGTATGACTAGAAGTAGTTGTTATCAGTAGTGGTTGTTATCAGTAGTTATCAGTAGTTGTTGTTATCAGTAGTAGTTGTTATCAGTAGTAGTAGTAGTTATCAGTAGTGGTTGTTATCAGTAGTGGTTGTTATCAGTAGTGGTTGTTATCAGTAGTGGTTGTTATCAGTAGTGGTTGTTATCAGTAGTGGTTGTTATCAGTAGTAGTTGTCATCAGTAGTAGTTGTCATCAGTAGTGGTTGTTATCAGTAGTGGTTGTTATCAGTAGTGGTTGTTATCAGTAGTGGTTGTTATCAGTAGTGGTTGTTATCAGTAGTGGTTGTTATCAGTAGTGGTTGTCATCAGTAGTAGTTATCAGTAGTGGTTGTTATCAGTAGTGGTTGTTATCAGTAGTGGTTGTTATCAGTAGTGGTTGTTATCAGTAGTGGTTGTTATCAGTAGTTGTCATCAGTAGTGGTTGTTATCAGTAGTGGTTGTTATCAGTAGTAGTTGTCATCAGTAGTAGTTGTCATCAGTAGTTGTTGTTATCAGCAGTAGTTGTTATCAGCAGTAGTTGTTATCAGCAGTAGTTGTTATCAGCAGTAGTTGTTATCAGCAGTAGTTGTTATCAGCAGTAGTTGTTATCAGCAGTAGTTGTTATCAGCAGTAGCTGTCATCAGTAGTAGTTGTTATCAGTAGTGGTTGTTATCAGTAGTGGTTGTTATCACTAGTAGTTGTTATCACTAGTAGTTGTTATCAGCAGTAGTTGTTATCAGCAGTAGTTGTTATCAGCAGTAGTTATCAGCAGTAGTTGTTATCAGCAGTAGTTGTTATCAGCAGTAGCTGTCATCAGTAGTAGTTGTTATCAGTAGTGGTTGTTATCACTAGTAGTTGTTATCAGCAGTAGTTGTTATCAGCAGTAGTTGTCATCAGTAGTTGTTATCAGTAGTGGTTGTTATCAGTAGTAGTTGTCATCAGTAGTTGTTGTTATCAGTAGTAGTTGTCATCAGTAGTAGTTGTTATCAGTAGTGGTTGTTATCAGTAGTGGTTGTTATCACTAGTAGTTGTTATCAGTAGTGGTTGTTATCACTAGTAGTTGTTATCACTAGTAGTTGTTATCAGCAGTAGCTGTAGGAGTTGTTATTGTTTCTTTACTTTAGAAGCAATATTTTCATATTCATGTTTGTGTTCCTTCTCCTGTTTCATTATTCCTGTTGTTCTCTGTTCTTTACTCTCTGTTTCTTGTTCTTCCTTCTACCTTTATTTTTGTTCCTTGGAACTGTCTATTGACTCACTGGTTAATACATTGTTCCTTGGAACTGTCTATTGACTCACTGGTAAATATATTGTTCCTTGGAACTGTCTATTGACTCACTGGTTAATACATTGTTCCTTGGAACTGTCTATTGACTCACTGGTTAATATATTGTTCCTTAGAACTGTCTATTGACTCACTGGTTAATATATTGTTCCTTGGAACTGTCTATTGACTCACTGGTTAATATATTGTTCCTTGGAACTGTCTATTGACTCACTGGTTAATATATTGTTCCTTGAAACTGTCTATTGACTCACTGGTTAATATATTGTTCCTTGAAACTGTCTATTGACTCACTGGTTAATATATTGTTCCTTAGAACTGTCTATTGACTCACTGGTTAATATATTGTTCCTTGAAACTGTCTATTGACTCACTGGTTAATATATTGTTCCTTAGAACTGTCTATTGACTCACTGGTTATTATATTGTTCCTTAGAACTGTCTATTGACTCACTGGTTAATATATTGTTCCTTGGAACTGTCTATTGACTCACTGGTTAATATATTGTTCCTTGGAACTGTCTATTGACTCACTGGTAAATATATTGTTCCTTGGAACTGTCTATTGACTCACTAATTAATATATTGTTCCTTAGAACTGTCTATTGACTCACTGGTTATTATATTGTTCCTTAGAACTGTCTATTGACTCACTGGTTAATATATTGTTCCTTGGAACTGTCTATTGACTCACTGGTTAATATATTGTTCCTTAGAACTGTCTATTGACTCACTGGTAAATATATTGTTCCTTGGAACTGTCTATTGACTCACTGGTTAATATATTGTTCCTTAGAACTGTCTATTGACTCACTGGTTAATATATTGTTCCTTAGAACTGTCTATTGACTCACTGGTTAATACATTGTTCCTTAGAACTGTCTATTGACTCACTGGTTAATACATTGTTCCTTAGAACTGTCTATTGACTCACTGGTTAATACATTGTTCCTTAGAACTGTCTATTGACTCACTGGTTAGTATAATCACTAATACTTGTTTCTCTTACTGTTGGTGTGTCAGTATAGTGTGTTAGTGGT